TTAAAAGCAATGCTAATGCCACAAAATTTTTTTTGTGGCACAGAAATTTGCAAGTTGCTAAAATTTATATTAACATGTAAAGAAATAAGATCTCTGAAACAACCAGAAGATTATGACAGTTGAAAATCTCCTACTATTATGGTGAGTTAAGTTTTGACATATGTGTTAAGACCGAAAGAAAGTCCTTTTGACAAAGTGCTGGAATGGCTTGATAAATAGATATAGCACAACCAAAAACCAAACAAAATCCCACCTTTATCTCACACTAGACACCAAATTTTAGACAGATCATATCCTTAAATGTCAAAGTTTAAAAGTTTCTAGGAAATAACATAGGAAAATACCTTTGCCACTTTGGGATAAGCAAAGATTTCATATAGTAGACACAAAAAGCACTAATATAATAGGAAAAATTGATATGCTGTTCTTCATCAAAAGGAATAATTTCTGCTTATCAAAAGACAGCATTAAGTACAGGAAAACCAGGCTACAGACTAGGAAAAAATGTTCAAATATATCTATACATGTCAAAGGATTTTAATACAAAATATGTTAAGAATTCTTACAAATCAATTACAGAAAGACAAATACCAATAAAATCATAGGCACAAGATTTGAATTGTTACTTCACAAAGGAAGATATAAGATAACCAATACATTTATGGAGCTTAAAATTATTAGATCTCAAGGAAACGCAAGTTAAAACCAAAACTAGTTATTAATTCACACCTCCTAGAATGGCTAAAATTCAACAGAATAACACCAGATTTAGGCAGGAATGCGAAGGAACTAAAACTCTCATATGCGACTGGTGGGAGTTGTAAGCCAGATGACTGTTTTGGAAATCTGCATGGTAGTTTCTCATAAACAAATGTCTGCTGGAAGATCAAGCAATTCCACTCCTAGGTTTTTACCCAAGAGAACAGAAACATATGGCCAAAAAAAAAAAAAAACACTTGTATAAAAATGTTTATTTTAGCCATACTATTCAGAGCAGCCCAAACTGGAAACTATCCAGACATCCAAGAAGAGAATGGATTTTAAAGATGTGACATATTCTAATGGTTAAACACAATCAGCAATATAAAAAAAGAAGCCACTAATATATGTAACAACATGAATAATCTCAAAAACATGTTAAGGGGAAGAAGCCCAATATAAAAGAGTGCCGTCTCTATAATTCCATTTGTATGAAGTTCAAGATGAGGCAAGCAACCTCTGGTCTTAACAATTAGCACAGTGGTTTCCTAAGGAGACAGGAATGATGGGGTTGGACAAAAAAGAAGTCTAAGGGAACTTTCTGGGGTGATGGAATGCTCTATATCTTGACAGGAGTAGTAGTCACTGCTATATACTGAATGTTTGTGTCCCCCTGAAATAGATGACATGATCATCACACGTTTAAACTATAAAGGTGGAGCCCTTATGAATGAGATTAGTGCCCTCATAAAAGGGACTTTGGAGAACTCTCTTGCCTCCTGCCATCATGTGAAGTTACAGCAAGAAGGCACCTCTATGAGCTAGAAAGTAGGCCCTTACCAGACACTAGATCTGCTGGTGCCTTGATCTTGAAATTCTCGGTCTCCAGAACTGTGAGAAATAAATTTCTGTTTTTGTTTTTTTTAAAGCCACCCAGTTTATAGTATTTTGTTATAATAGCATAACAAAAAACCATAACCTAGCTGGCTTTAAAATATATATGTATCTATATGGTATATGTACATCTATATTTTATAATGTATAAAATATACATTATGAAGGTTATTTATTTAAAATTTTTCTCATTGGTGCCTCTTTTTAACAACGTTAAATATGAGAGAAAACTTAAATTATAGGATCATAGTAAGTTGCCGTGCGAAGAAGCACTAAAGGTGACCCTTTAGTCTAAGCTGCAAGGTGGAGAGGGTTCTCAGCCTTGGCGTCTGCAAGCCTGGGTTTTTATCCTCATGTGTTAAGTCTGAGCTCCAAGATCTTAGACAATCCCTCCTCTTAAGCATGCTTGTTCATCTATAAATAGGGGAAACAACAGGATTTCCTCGTAGAGCTGGTGTGAGGATAAATGTGATAGTGTATATGAAAGCAGCTGACAGGTGACATGCAAGGCCTCACCAAACTGAAAGTGACTCAGGGAGCTAATGCCCAAGGCCATAAAGCTACTGAGTAGCAGAAGAGAATTTAAATCTAAGTCTCAACTCCTCGTTCTGTGAAATTCCCTTAAGTGCAGTGCCTTCAAAGGTCTAAAGTCACTTTCAAATAAATTTTCAGAAGATTTAAAACCTTTTTTGGAGAGATTTTCCCAATATTCTATACTTGTTTTGAGATCTCAAAAGGGGTAGGGGACTGCTTTGGGGGTATCCCCTAAGTATACCTTTAATTGAACCGTGGTACATTGAGAGAATGGAGGAGGCAGGACAAGTGAAGGGGGATGACAGTGGTAGGTGCAACCAGTAAATCACAATCTGGTTGGTATCATTTGGAAAAGTTCAATAAAATGCTATAATATAATTTTATATTTAGAAAACCAAAGCAATACTCACTTAAAATGATTCACACATAAAAGAGTACATGAGATTTTAGGTTTTCCAAGCAGGCTTTCAGTTTGTATAACAAATTGAAAACTCTCTTAGACGGGGTGTAAGGAATCCTTAGATCTTGATAGTTAGAGGAGTGTTTTCTGTGAGCATGCCTGCCTCACACCACAGAAGGTACCAGAGCTGTTGGTATTTAGGACTGGCATCTTGGCAGTGTAGAGTTACCACTTCTGGCAAACTGGCCATTGACAACTGTGCAGGTTATTTAGGGTCATGCCCAGGAGTATGGTTATTTTTTCCGCTTCTTTGGTCACAGCTCAGTAGGAGGAGTCTCCCCTTGGGCCAAGTTTAATGACAAACTAGAGCAGGAGAGCAGGACACTAATCCCCACTAAGAGTTGTCAGCAATTTCTTGATTGAAGAAGGAAATAGAGAAGAATAAATAGTTGGTCTTATTACTACAACTTACAATTTTATAACTTTAGAATTTCTAAGACTCTACAAAGAAATTCCTCACTAAAATTTTATATCTTTAGAATTTCTAAGACTCTACAAAGAAATAGGGAATGCTTGTGTCCTCAGTGAAAACAGAAAATGGCTTTTCCATCTTGGTCAATAGTGAATATGACAGCCATTAGGTAAAAGGCTGGGGGATCAAAATAAATGCAACTACACTGAATATGCGTGAAAACAGGATGCCACCTGCATGCACTCAGCATCACAGCTCAAAATGTTTCTTTAGGGCAGATGATGGGATACATACAGCTTGGCTCATGCCGGAGAATGGGATGTTTTTGTTCCTTCACCTTTGGAAAACGTATTTAAAACAAGTGTGATCTTTTTTAAAAAAATAAAATGAAATGAATATATAGAGAAGACATTTTGAAATATGAACACATTATATTTTGATGCAAGCCCTTTCTTCCTTGAGGAAACTTTCAGGTCACACGCAGTAGAAGAGGAGAGGGCCATGGATGGTGCTGCTGTGTGAGTGGCCAGTGACCCTGTGATTGACTAGATGGAGACTCTGGCATTTCCACATTATTTCCTGTCAGTCCCCTCTATTATTTATGGTTTGATAAGATAGTGAGGTATATTCTTTTCTTCCTTCTGGTAGCCTGCCAGGTCATGTGTAGAGAAAGAGAGAGAAGTCAATGTTTGGATTAGTCTGACTTCTCATACAAGTGGAGAGAGACAGGCTGTGTCAGCCCTGCCCTTAAGATCATGCCCTTTCCTCCATAGTACCAATTAAATGCCGGCAGCCAATCAAAGTCAGAGCTAAAATTTTAATTCCAAAAAAGTCCGGGTAAGGGAGCAAAATAGATTTGAAAATACTATATGGAATTTGGAATAAGATACTACTTATGATATCTTCAGCAGGTTAATCCCACTGAGACTTAGATACTACAAAATGGGGTGAATGGTATGTATATCATTAAATTCTTGAGGATTTCAGTAAACAATACCAAAAAAAAAAAGAGAAAAATAGTAGTTTCTCATGTAGTGATAAATGAGAAAAGTCACTTAAAATGTGCTGTAAGTGGTCCTCCAGCACTATCTTTTCAATTTATTCAGTGACGAGTCCCTCTTCCCTTATGAGAACATATATTTGCTTTTAGCTGAGTATTGACTGGGAAATAGAATACAGTTAAAATCAACTTTCTTGCAAGATCGTGTTCCATATATTAAGGGACACCAACAGGAAGGATTCTAGAAAGGCTTAATTAACAATGTTAATTTTAACAATGTTAACATAACATTGTTTATTGAGGTTTCAGTGTTGTAGGCAAGTCCTCTTTAGCCCTTCAGCCAATTTAGGATTGTCTCTGTTTTCTTCCAAGTGAGTACTGGAATAATAAAGCATCATATAAGGCAGAACTAACAACGGGTATTTCTGACTTTTAGATTTCCAGATTATTTATATATTACACACTAATTTTCATGAAAATAGTCTTGAGTTTCATAGTTGCAAATGGTAAATCTCTCAGTAAGTTTCCAAGATTTACACAATGACTATTTTGAGATTACAAATGTTCGGTTAACACTTGCGTCCAGTTAGTTATAGGAAGTATGGAGGTCAGAGTCTCTTAAACACAACCAATCCAGAGATTACGGTCTTAATATATTTGTGAAGAAGTTTGTGGCTACATCACTCTACCTGTACATTTTTCCTTTAACTTCAGCTCTTTTAATTTTTCATTAGTTCTTGTACTATGAGATATGCAAGATAGGAATAGATCTTAAATAGGAACATTTATCTTCCTGTAGAACTAAAAACCATGTTTGGAGGACAAGGTGGAGAGAAATGGAAAACATAGTAGAAAGTAACCATTGAAGTATCTCTAGTTCTTCAGTGCTTTTCCACCTGTTAAACGACTAGATATGGGGTGGACTAATTAATGCCTTTTCCTGACTCTGATAGTTAATACCCTACCTACATGGAAAAAAATCAGAGTCATCTATTCTCGTCATCAAAACTTGTATCTTCAGTTTTTTTTTTTTTTTTTAAACAAAATATTTCCATTGGGAAGTCATATGGATTAAAGCAGCCAAAGAGTCATGAGTCCTTACTCCTAAATGAATATGTCATTTCCCAATAGAAAAAGAACACAATTGCTAAGTCTTTCTTGCTCCAGTTTTCTATTTTTGAAAATTATAATAAAAATATGTAGCTTCTATTAGTGGAATAACGAGTGAATGATGGCTGAATAACCACTAGGTATATTAGCAAATGTACTCTTAAATTTTACTAGAAATAAAAGACTGTTTCTCTTATCTCTCTCCAGTGACTTTTAAAATTATCAGTGCAAAGAATTTAGCTAAATGTTGCTAAAATTTCACTGCTTTGCTAGTGTATCACAAAAATGGGCTTAGACATTCTTAACTTGAAAGATCTTATTATGAATCTGAACTTACTCTGAATGAGCAGCTTGAAGGGTTAAGAAGACTAATTCGTATTCCAAAAATGCTGGCTTATTTCAGAAGGCACAAGCAAGGAATAATTAAGAGGAATGCAAAGCACTTAGCGAACCTGAAGTATTCCACAAATTCTTAATAAAAAGCCTTGACGCTTTGGATGAGAATGGCAACTTATTACTTTGATTAACAATAACATCAACTCTGTCAGAGTTAGTGAACTTTTCAATTAGGTAACAGTTATTTAGATGAATGGTCAGGCCAGGTGGTAGAAGTTGAGCTTAATTTAATGAAATATTTTAAAGGAAATGCTTGAGGCTTTCACCTAAAGACACCATGAAGCTAGTGTCCAGCATTTATTTATCCATGATTTTAATTTGGGGTTACCACACGAAGAAACAAAGGAAAGAACACATACACACACACAAATTTATTTTATTCATAGAGGGACAAATGGTGTCTGATGAAATACTGGATGTTGGTGGTGCTCCAAGAATTTAACATGTATTTGACCCTAATGTAGAGAATTATAGTTTTTTCTTTTTTTTTCAGCTAATTTTCAAGATACAGGGAAATTTTATTTTCATTATTTTAAGAAATAAAATTACTGTGGAGTGAATCAGAAGTCATAATAAAATGAAGACACCCTAGAACCCAAGCTGTTGGATTTGTGAGTAAGTTATCACAGATTATAAAGGGAAGACAAGATTTGAATATCAGGAAACCTGTACACATAGGAGAACTTCTATAAAATGGATGTTGCCTCTGGGCAACTGTCTGTTTTTCCTTTCACTTACATAGCACAGGTCTTCCAACTTTTCTATAGATGCCATGGACACAAACCCATGTGAAGTGTTTATAGATAAAATGTTCATTGAGAAAAAGAACATATTTGTTACCAAGTTGTGATAGTTAATTTTATATGTCCACTTCACTGGGTCATGTGGTGCACAGACATTTGGTCAAACATTATTCTGGCTGTGTCTGTGAGGGTGCCTCTGGGTGAGATTAACATTTGGATCAAATCAGTAGGCTAAGTAAAGCAGATTGCCCTCCTCTATGTGGGTGGGCCTCATTTAATCAATGAAGATATGAATGGAACAAAAAGGCTTAGTAAGAGGGAACTTCTCTTTACCTGACCACTTGAGTTGGTACATTGTTTTTTCTTGCTTCCAGTCTGGGACGAAAACATTAGTTCTTCCTGGGTCTTAGCCCATCTGGGTTTCAGACTGGAACTTACACCTTCCTGGTTCTCAGGCTTTTGGACATAGACTGGAACTACACATTAACTCTACTGTGTCTCCAGCTAGGAAGTTGTCAGGAACTGCAGATCTTGGTACTTCTCAGCCTCCATAATCATGTCAGTCAATTTCTTATAATAAATCGTTCTTTGTACACACACACACATACACACACACACCCTCTACTGGTTTGATTCTCTGGAGAATCCTGACTCGTACACCAAGTATTGGTGCGGGCTGCTTAAGACTAAGGAGAGAAAGCCCAAGATGAGGAGCAGTTGTGCCATAAGGTGAGAGTGGGCATCATGTACATCAGTGACAATACACAACAGGAGAAATGTTTCTGCCTTATGTGGCACAAAATAAAGCACAATGAGAGAAAGTACGGCCTACCCATTAAACACAAAGATTCTAAAACATCACTGCCTTAAATCAAATAACAATTCTGTGCCTTCCAAGCTATGTAACCTTAGGAAAGTCATTTAGCCATTCTCTGCCTCAGATTTTTCAAATGTAAAATACGAATAATAATGGTATGTACTTTATAGATGTGCTGTGAGAACACGAGCTCAATACATGCTCATGCTGCTATGTGACTCCACCATTTCAGAGCTTCTGCCTCCTTTGGATGGCAGCTCCATTTGAATATTGCTTCATTGGAGTTGGCATCTTTACAGGGTGAGATCATGGGTCCTCATTTAAATCTGATTTTTCTTTTGATTTTCTTTTAAATCAACTTTCTTATGTTTTTTAAACGGGACATATCAGACATAAGGAAAATATAAAATGAAGTACAAAGTTCCATTAGCTATAGACATCCCATTGCAAAAATTAATTTACTCATTTATAAGATAAGGTGGTTTAAAACCTGTGTTTGAAACTAGCAGCATGCCACAGAATCACCAGTGAAACTTTTTAAAAGTGCAAATGCTGGAACCCCACCCCTATCAATTGCATCTGAATCTAAGGTTGGGAGTGAGATGATGAGAAGTGTAAGGCATGTGTGTATGTTAAGAATCTTTATTAGTTTATCAAATTTCCCTTATAAACCACATTAGATAATTTGTAAGGTTCATACTATCTGTAATATCACATAACTAATAATGTTTAATCTAACATCTCTAAAGAATTTTTAAAGTAGTCTTGGTACTTTAATCCATTTTTAAAAATTCAAGTTGACATAATGACATGTTTTCCTCTGAAATAGACTCTCATATGGATCAAAGTCAACTAACCAGAATATGTGAGTAATAACAATAAGATATTGCTACCTCAGTAGCAGTTTCATTGTTGGCCAGACGTGTCACTGCAAAGACCTACCTGGCAGTCCCTACAAGATAGATGTACTAGGTACTTTTAATTAATCTTCTCCAGTCTCAACCAAAAGGTCTATGGTGGTTGACCTTTAGGAAGTATATGCTTTAAAAAATTCACTCAAGCACTGAAAAAACCAAATAATTGAATTCAGACTATTGATAGAGACAAATAAAGGGACACGTGCGAAACAGTATCCCAGGCCATGTCCCTGACAAGGGCAATGTAGTCAAAATTAGTTGAAACAAAATATATAATCAACCTGATTTGGGGGATACGTCTTCCTTATTGTATAAGTTATATGCACAACTGGAGTGAGCAAAATTAGTACATTGTATTTTCTCCCAGTGAAATTCAATGAACGATGAAGATCTTTTTTCCACAACTCACTTTGACTTCTTCATGTACAGCCAGTAGACGACACCAGCAACAAGGGCAGCAAGGAGGAGACCAACAACGATTCCCACAATGAGTTTTGCCTGGTCATTCACCTTCTCTCTGTTTTCATCTGCAACAAAGAAGAAAAGTCCATGCAATTACAGACAATGCCAAGGATTTTCAGAAAGTCAGTCTAGCGATTACTTTGTATTAAAAATGACTAACGCTCACTACGGTAATTAACATGCAAACTTGTGATTTTTAAAGGGTAAAATTTTAGCATTCTTACTATCTTGTCTCATTTGGTATTTCAATTCAAGTTGAAATTGTGGACAGCTAAGAAAATTACTTATACCATGACACTTCATAAATCTTGAGCTGATAGTTAAGGAAGAAGAGTCGGCAGCATAGTACCTACCACTTATCTCGTCTGCCTCATCGTGTTCTGGAATACTTACTGAAATGAAAAATGTTAATATGAAATTAAAAACAAAATTTGTTGATATATGAAAGTCACCTTTACCATTATAGTATGATGTAATAATACTCAAAGATAAAATGTCTATTCTACAACTAAGAGTAAAAAAAAAAATCACACTTAATAAAGTATGACCTTGCCTACAAAGAAATTAATCTTGTTTTAAGGAAAGGAGAGGAGCTACAATTGCAAAGATATTAATCTACCATAGAAAATTTCATAACTGATGGCCTATAGAATTAATCTGAAATCCATATTGATTTTCCCACTATCTACCACCTTTTAATAGTCATTCTTTTTTTAGGGAAACAAGCTGGCGCCTAGGAAGTCTACAGTGTGGTGTTTATCAACTTTTCTCAACTCTCCTGCCCTGATATAGGAGAATTCATTGTCTTTCTCTAGTGTCAAGGACTTATGACTAGAGATGTTCTCAAAGTAGTAGAAGTAGAGGTTCAAACTGACTGGGAATATCTCCGAGATTAAGAAGCAACATATATGAAGTTTGCAAAGCCCTCTAAATGACTCTGATAGTGCCATGCTCTTGGTCCATTTTAAGAATTACCACTGTGCTGAATTATCATCTAACATTAAACTTTATAAATAATCTTCAAAGTGCATGGGCATGTATCAGAACTGCCAGTGACATTTGATAAAATGCAGATTCCCGAATCTCTCCTCATACATACTAAATTGGCATCTCAGGAGGTGCTCACTGAATTTGAAAACGATCGTATTAAATGTTGATAAAGTCACTGCAAGGCCTAGAAAACTGAAGCATACCATTCAATGGGTTAACATAAAAAGAGAAACTTGTGTTCAGGAAGAAAGGGTAGGTTCTCTTTCTAGGTGGGACAAATCAATACTCACTGAATTGCATTCTGAGAAGTCAATGCTCCTATTTTAGAGTTAAATTTGTTTGGTTCTTTTCTCTTGTCAATCCATTAGGCCTTTATATTCCAGTCATAATTTGTGAGGGACCATTATTTTTCGACGATTATTTTCTCCTAGCTCTTGCTAATTCCCAGCTAGTGTAGTCCTAGCCTGCTAATGTCATACACAGGTTTCCAACTGAATGAAGAATGAAAGTTTGGCAGGTCAGTTAGCATCCTGTCCAGAACTGAGCCTCATTCTAGGCCAGTCCTGATTTAAGGTTGACAAAGCAATAGGAACAACTATAAAATTGAAGATTATGGACAATTTCACATTAAATGACAATTGTTTTCTGAAGAAGCTGTTGTTGGTATGTATGTATTACCCTGATTTCAACATCGACAGATTTTTCCACATTCTCTGAGATAGTTTCGCTTATCTGATTTTTGGCTATAGTTCAAATATGATATGACAAAACGAAGAATTTTGTAAACTAGATTCATGAATTCTAAAATCACTCTTGCTAGTTTGCTAAATGACTTTAAACATGTGGCATGCTAGTACCCTTATGTTGATAAGGGTAGAATAAATACCACAAAGGATTAGAAGGCAAAATAATAGATCAAAGGGAATTAAAAATTTAACAAATTTAAAACTGTCACAAAAATGTTTTAAGATGATCTTTGAATTACCTCCATAAAGCATGAATTAAATAAGAGAAACTTATTTTTTGTTCTCTGTTGCTTTTGAGAACTGTTCCTGTACAGGATAAGGCCTCTGACCCATAAAACATGAAATGATTTAACTGTCAAGACAAGGATAGTACAAGAATGGACACCAGGAAAAAAGAAAAAATAACCTTATGATGATGATACCAAATGCAAAATAAATAAATAAAACTTACCATAATGTAGTACAGGAAGATGGAATTGAAGATTTTAAACTAATGAAGAATAACTTCAAATTTTCTTACTTTTGTAATGCCAGAAATAAAATACTCACTAGCAGAGACATTCAAGGAGTTTACTGTTCTCTCCAGTTGGTTTTCTGCTGTGCAAGTTAATGTAACATTCTCTTCAGGGGAAATGATAATTTTACTATAATACCTGCCATTGATATAAGGAGATTCCTCTGTCTGGAAAAAGAAGAAAAAAGATGGGTTTAGAAATGAAAATGGATTAAAAAGCATAGGAAAGAGTAATAATGAATGTAATAGGATAGGTGTGGGGCTCTGTAGAGCATTCTAGTGTTCAAAAGCTATGTAAGATCATAGATCAAGACTCATGTATGCAAATATCTACAAAGGTTAGTAAATCCATAATGAAATTTCTGGGTTTTTGTGAATTCTAATAATTAAGTTAATTAAACTCTTATTTTTAAATAGAATCTCAGGTTTACTCAATATTTTGGCCTGATGATACTTGTTTCAAAATAATTGGTGACTATCTAATGACCAATTTTCTGTCAGTAAATATATAAATTTAATTATTTATAAATTTAGTCACTGTTCTTCATTGTGGGAATTAATTCCTTTATCTTAAACCATTATATCAAAGTACATATGTATGTATAATTTGCTCATGGGTACATGAAATCATTTTTTTTCTGAAGTTTTCTGTTGTAAATACAGAGGATGGATGATTTTTCAGTGATTGCTGTCCATCTAAAGTTTGTGAGGTGTTAATGAGGGTAATCACTGCATTTAATTTCTTCAAATATAAAATACAATTTACTTTAATCTCATGCCTAGGATTTGACTCCTAAACCCAACATGGTTGAGGCAAATGATGTACTTGCACTCATTTCTTGGTCAACTTATGAACTCATTCCCTACATTTTTCTCTTTCTATACTGTTTGCTTTCTCCTCAACTACATGGTAAGTGCCTTGAGGACAAGAGCTAGTCTCATGTTTTGGGTATCTTCTAGTTGCTGGGGGTGGAGGAGGGGCAGAGACATCTTGTAGTTGTAAAATAACAGATTCACCATAAATCTGAGAGGGAACAAATAAAAGATTAAGGATGCATCAGCACAAACCTAGAACAAGAAAAATAGCATATCACCCAGTGGGCCAGAATCAATCTTTCTCCTTGACAATGAAAGATGGCATTACTATTTTTACCCTCATAGTAAATTTACCTGCTATTTTTTCACTTCCTACTAGGAGTTTTCATCTGACTTTCTTGCTGAATCTTTGCTTTTGTTACTTTAAACTCTACAAAACACATTTTCTCATTTCTAGGATGGTCTTTTAAATCTTCGTATCTTTTCATTAATCAAAAATTTACTGTGTGCTTATGTTTCTGTGTTCTATGTCTGTATCACCAGTACCTAAAGATTCTTTTTTTGCTGCATTTATCACTTAAATTGAACTAGAGAGCAAAAACAATTGAGTAGAAAAGAAGCAATCATTTTTGATGCTAAAAACAGATCTGCACATTGTCTGCAATTTAGATGGCTCAAGTCTTTATTCCAAATCAAGAAAACGGCATTTTCCTAAGTTTAAGGAGCCCAGAGCTTCTTTGCCTCCTCTTACATGCTTTCTCACTGTGTGTCCCCATCACACTTAACCAAATCAGGAGTCATTCACTTCAAGTGTGCCTACTCTTTTGGGGACTTTCCATAACCAGAGTTAAGCAGCTATATATGCATCACCTATAGTTGAAAGAGCCAAAATCCACTTTGCACTGCAAAACTGCACGGCATAAGCTGGGACAGTGGCCCAACTTCCCTGGACAGAGGAAGAGTGGAGATTGTAACTTAAAATTAATTTGCAGCTCTTTGCTTTATATATGGCTTCTCGAATTTCAACTGGGTCAAAATCTGAGAAGCAGCACAGAAGATTCAAATAATCCAGTGGTACCTCTGGGTGCTCCTGAGAGGCCTTTACTGATTATACTGAGAAGAGGGAGACATGAAGACTGTTGTAGAGAACAATGGAATTAACAAGTATGTCAGCAACCCAAGCAGATTGGCAATTTACTGGGATTACAGTTCTGAATCCCTCCAATGTAGGCCAGATTCTCATCTTTCTTTTAGGGGGAGGGTCAAAGACTTAATAGTAAGAGAAAATAACAGGTAGTGTTAATAAATCCTTAACCCTTTACTATTACTAAAATAAAAAGGTATACGTAATAAGGTCTGGTTTATGACCCTTTTGTTCAGAAGGGTACATCTTAGACACTATGTATGTAGCTTGCCTTATTCTGGCCTTGGCACTGCATAGGCATGTCAGACCACACATTCATAAGCAGTAACTGTTGTTCTCCAACATCCCTACACAAGGACATAGTTTTAAGAAGAAATACCCCTTAAAGTGCATAAATTGAGCACAGTACTGGAGCCCAGTTATACTGAGATGCATGAGCTTATTTTGCAGAAAAGTATATATCTTAATGTTTTAATCACTAAAATTTCAGGAATGAATGATCATGAAGTAATATCCAATTTATATTCTATTAAAAACAGATACTGACCATGACACAATGGTTCCAAAAACAGATACTGACCATGACACAATGGTTCCTCCCTTCTCCATGGCCCTGGGATAAAATTTCTCTTTGAGCCATGTTCTTCCTTTGGGAAAATTAAGAAGTTAGCAAAAGCTTCCTCTGAGCATGTACTGCAAATTTTATGTGGTAACAAACCAACCTATACACTGCAAATTTTATGTGGTAACAAACCAACCTACAGCGTAAGTTCGTGAGGAAAAAAAAAAAAACACATTGGACAAAGTGCCGCATGTAACAAGAAGACAAATACTTGCTTGGTTTATGACGCTTCCACTGCCAGTAATTGTCCATTGAATGGCTGGCTTTGGAAAACCTTCCACGTGGCAGATGATTGTTTTAGATAGTCCACTGGGATCAGTTTTCTTTGTCATTTTTATTTGAGGTTTGCCTAAAATATCATTACAATTAAAATAAGATGTTGAACTGAGATCATAAAAGAAACCAGGTATAAAATTCTCAAAGAATAATTTGAGTTAGTGCCCAAGTATTTTATTACCTTCTACAATGAGAGTCAACGACTCTCTTTTCTTTAGTCCTTCAACCTCCTGCAGAGCAGTTTCGCAGACATAGTTTCCAGCATCCTGATAATGAAGACTAGAAAATGACGGGCTAGATCGAAGCCTGATGTTATCCTGATTAAATAAAAAGTAAATTACCGCATGTGGCAGAATTAAAACTTTCAATGTATTTATTAGATAATAATTAAGCCTAAAACGATTCTTCTGGGAATAATAAAAATGCAAACTTCTTTTTCTTAACTTCACATGCTTTCAAAATAGATTTCCTTTTCCTTTTGTAGTTTTAGAGTCAGAAATGCCAGATTTTTATTTCAGGCTCTTTCATTTACTGAATTTATAATTTGGAGAGTGTTCATAAACGTGTAAGAATCAAGTTTCATTGTTTGTGAAGTGGGGTAATAATATACCATAATTAAATTGTTTTGAGGACTTAATTATACAAATAATATATTGTGCTTACATTAAGGGGAGTTTTCAGTTTATAGTACCTACTCCTTATAGTACGTGTAGGTGATATAGGATTGACAGACATGGAGACTTGCGGTACCTAATCAATGATGAGCATACATGCAAGAAAGTCATTTCATACACTTTTCAAACACATAAACTGTTGATACAGTTATCAACACAGGGGACCTATTATAGAGTATTATGGTTTGAATATGTTCCCCAAATTTGGTGTGGAAAACTTAATCCACTAAAATCACATGTTGATAATGTTTGGAGGTGGGGATCATCAAAAGGTAATTATGATTAGATAAGGTTATCATAGTGAGGCCCTTATGATAAGACTGGTGACTTTATTAGAAGAGGAACAGAGAGCTGAGCTGGCATGCTCTTGCCCGCTCACCATGTGATGCCCTCTACAATGCTTTTATTCCAATTTCCATGAACAAAGGAAATGTAACATTTAATTTTAAAAACTTGCCTGATATACAGAAAATAATCTCATTATGTCAGGAATTGAAATGCTCCTAAGCAGGCAACTAGGCACGATCCTAAGATTATGTGGTCTTTGTCCATTAGGATATTTTTTCCCACTCCCCATTAACTAACCAATAATCAGGGAATACTGATCATCACTATTTTGAATATGTGAGTTGTTCATGACAGTTAATTCATAACAGTGATTGCAGTTGATGTAAAAACAGTGTAAGCCACAGTAAACTTAGTTTCTCTAGTCCTATAGTAAAATATGCAATGAGTGTTCAAATGATTATGAATTAGTCTAGTGGCCTAGAACGTGTCTAGCCTTGTGATCACTGATTACTATATACATATCATGCTAGATTGCAGCATAGGAAGTGGCACTTTATTTTAGTGAACAAGTTGTGATGAGGCTGTGGCTGAAAGAGAGTAAAATAAGAAACTGAGCTCACAGAGTAACACAACAAGTAACAGAGGATCGAGTGCTAAAAGGGATCAAAAGGCAGGCAGTAAAGCAATACAAAATAATTTCATTAATATATTTCCATTAAAAAGAAACTCTAGAAAAAATATTTCTCCTCAGTTTCTTATAAAGGTAATTCTTCTCAACTCCTATTTCAAATGATATGTGTGTTTTCTGAATCCATCAAGGGTTAAAGGTTCTTGTCACATGTCATGCTCTGGTAACAAATGCACTGGGAGTTTGGATATACTAGCCAAGGGTTTAAGTGGAGGGATCACACACAACCTTTTCTTTTGGTGATAACCTGTCTCAGATCGCCAATTATCAGTCACACTTCCTTATTCTAAAAGGATAGCCAAAGGCCTACATTTCAGACAATTACTGGAGTATAAGCACTTGTTCAGGAAACACTGAATTAACTCCTAGTATGTTCTAGGTATTCTACTGTAGCTCAGGGGTAAAAGGGATTCCTTTCTAGGAGTTCTCGATCCAGTGGAATCTGTTTTCATAAACTTAAGAGTGGTCTCAGCAGCAGAGAGACAAAAAAGGTGTCTTATCAAAGCATAGTATTTATACTCAGTAAGGCCTGGCCTTGAGTCTCTGTCAGTTATGAGCTTTCTGATTTCTTTTCCTTCAATTTCTTTATATGAATAATGTGGGAAAATAATAATCCTTGTATTTCACAGGGTTGTTGTAAATATCACATAAGGATAATGTGGGCAAAAACACACTGTAAATTGTTAAGCCCTGTGGTATATAACTATGTTTGTATGTGCACACATGTGTGTGGTGTGTGTGTATAATTAGTATATACACATAATTGACATAACACCCCAAACTAAGTTTCAGAACACCAATTATGGATGTCACCCTGTTGATGAGCACCTCTAAAATTTTACTGTTATTTTATTTATCTTATCAGAAACACAGAAAGAGAGAGCGAGCTGGTATATAAACACATCCATGAATGTATCTACTTGAATACAATATAAAGTGCATAAGAAACCTAAAAATAAATCAATCCAAACAGCAGGGTAGTACCAAAAATATTACTTACTTTCATCCATACCACAGTTGCATTCCTGCTAGCGGATATTGTGCATGACACGGGTAGGGCATCACCAATCTGTCTGGTCACTTCTCCACTTGGGTTTAAGGACAAATCCAAATCTGTGAAGGAGAAAATCTGTTCAAAATGCTAACTCTGAAATGTAAAATAGTCAAAATATTTTGGAGAAGAAAAGACGAAAGAAAATACATTTCTTCAAACTGCATTTGAACATTCAGAACTGATTTATAGGACTGAAATAATTGGACTATAGCATGATTAGCCTGGTTTTTCAAGCCAGCTTTGAGACTAGTTTAGACAAGAGAATGGTCAATCTAATTGATTATCCATTTATTTACAGTTAACATGATTGATATTTTGAGGGGACATAAATATTCCCCTTGGGTCTATCACCTTAAGAAAAAAAATCTTAAGTCACTTCTGGAAGAAAATAAAGAAAGATGATGACTAGGTAAATATTACATAAAGAGATGGTAAGGCATAAATGTTGGAAAATCAAGCATCTTTAGACAGCAGGTGATAAATCGAAATACCATGAGATAGTAGTTGTGTTTCTTCAGAGAGAATTGACTATAGTAGCAGATATTTTTAAAAAGTGCGATTCCATTTCTCATCCAGTTGATGGAAAACAATTTTCATAAAAATTTTACTGTCATAGTCTGATCTGTATAAGAAAATTCAAACTCAATTGAACAAGTATTTATTGTACAGCTACTATGTCCCAAGCACTGATGAGAGATGCAGAGATAAATAATGAGCTTACAAGTCAATGAGGTAGAGGTACTATGCTAACTATAACACACAGTCCATGAAATCAGCACCTAGTAGCAAGCCTGACACTGATTTGGAGTTCAAGAAATATTTGTTGAAAGATGAAAGGCAGGCTAGAAACAGAGGTACAGACGAAGACTTAATGGAAGTATAGAGAACAGAGCCAAACTGGGTTTCAAAGCAGTAATAAAGGCTTTGTAAAGGGAACACGATATGTTCGTGGCCTCAAATGATTGAGAAGGACTTTGATAGGGGAAGATGTAAGGAAAACTTTGGTCACATAAGAAAAGGCAAAAAGATGCGAGAGCTTGGCAGTTTTTGTAATGGTGAGTAATTGGGTATAAGTGGTGGCAACTCATGAAAGTTAAACTCATACAGTTCATTGAGACTAGACTGAAGAGGACCATGCTTGCCACACTGGGAGTTGTGTCTTTGTTCTACAGTATGAAGACTTGCCATTACACTCCGCGTTTCTCCTTGATTTTGCACGTCATAATTGCAATTTGTTGATTGCAACATCATTTTTAAAGTTCGTCTCACCTGTCATACTGAAAGCACCATGAGTGTAGTGATTGTGACTTAGTTTGTCACTGATATAGCCACAGTGCCTGACACATGGTAGACTCTCAAACACTACTATTGAATGAATGAAGGGAAGGAGCATGTTTTCTCAGTTTCTCATTAATATTAAACCATGTACCATCATGTAGAAAAGTGGAGTTTCCTCAGAATATTTGGGTGAATTGTATTTAGATAAAAATTTTATTCTGGATGAGTTAGAAGTTTTTGTTAGCTGGATAGCTAATTTTCCAGAGAGGAGATAAACAATTTTACAGGACAATGATGGACTTTGTAAGCTCTGATGAAGACTCTATGTGTGCACATATTGGCAGGGAAATAGTAACTTTCATCAGCAACTAGGAATTTGTAGGCTGTGAGACTTGATGAGCAGTCTATTCTGCAAACATGTGCAAGAATGGGTTGATGCTTCTCTACCCACACTTCCTTTAGACATGTTTGAAAAGGAAACAAATCTTGTTTCTGGAAAATAAGCAAGCAATCAAAGATAAGTGGGTAAAAATAGGATTTTTATGTTTCCATATAATTTAGAATCAGATGTTGATTTACTTGAAATACTTTTTTTCAGCTTTTGAGGAGCAATAGAGTCAGCAATAGAGTTAAAATCCAATGTTAGAGTCTACCTGTCAAAACTGAGATGCACTTAAATCTAATTAAATGCACTAAAATTCAATTAAACTTTTACACACTTTCGTTTAATTTCCCCCCATCACAGCTAAACACGTAGGCACTATATGGCTGCAACCAAGTCTTCTGCTTTGTCAGTCTGCTATCTATCCTTCCCTGCCTTATCTACAAGTAAACAAACAAGTGCCCTCTTCTTTTAGAGACCTGTGTACCTTGCATCTCTTAAAAATAGGCATGTCACACCATCTTTAAGGCACTAGATTATTGATTATTGGCCCAAAGACATCATGAACAATGATAATAGAGAGCTATTCCACATGTGGTCCTATCTGCTGGCTATATTCTCTCTCTTCATTATTTTATTTTATTTTTATGGAACAGGACTGGATAATATTGTTATACTGGAGGCTACTGCTTTCTCTGTAACTAGCCCCTGGTGGTAGACACATTCAAACCCAAGCAACATAAGCAAGGAGCAAATGGAGAAATGGCCCAGCTGTGAGCATAACAGTCCACTGTTTTTACAGGACTCCCAAGGGAGCACTCCCAACATCAGACAATCAGAAGCAACCATCTGGTTGCTTTATTCCCCAATGCACCCCCCTGTATCTCTCTCAAAATTTTAGCTCATATCCCACATGTTTTTAAAGTATTATGAGTCAAATGAAAGAGTTAGAACTATGTACTCAAGACAATTTCTAATGTCTTTTTATACTCAGTAGGATTGTAGTGGATAATGTCTAGAGGAAACCTTATTAATGGTACTGTTGAGTGCAAAGGACTTATTTGGAAGTTTGTAATACACCTCCAAGCAAGACTGACATTTGCTCAAAGCACTCTGAATTCTAGTGTCACCAGGGTGTGGTATAAATTAGTTTACTGTTTCCATGATTTATCAGGTACATCAATAATACGGACTGTCATGAATTAGAACATAAAGAACTCAAGTTAAGTGTCTGGTATTTATGTATGTCTTTTTTTGTTACACCGAGGCAAATATAACTTTTGGAGTATTTGGAGATCAAAAGCAAATTAAAAGTTAAAAAGTTATGTCCACAGTGATTTTCAAGAAGTTCTGTTTCCAGAAATTTCCTGTCCCTCTATATAGAGTACATTTAGCCAATAAATAACTTCTAATGATCTCTACTTCCTGTTCCCAAAACTGAGTCTATAGTAACTTTGTATTGCCTGAGTTTGGGTGTTAAATTTATTCTGTAACACAAATGATAATGCTGGGTCAACTGCAAAGCTGGTGTACTTCAAGAACATGGAAATGTTTTCTTAAAATATACGGAGTTGTTCCTTTAAGGTCCATATGAATATTGTTTATTGACACCACAAATTGAAGACACTTAGAAAGAAGATGGAGATGTACCACTGCCAAATGTTGCGGTTATCAGAGCCATGCAAGGTTTCAATATTGCAGTGCAAATCTGGATCAAAGTTGAGCTTATCCTGATGCTCTCTCTACCTCATCTATTGCAACCAAGTTATTTAAGAAAGATATACCTGCAGTTTATTTGAAAAGATAGCTACATTAAGCTATTAGAAGCCTTTGAAGTGAAGCTGCTTATGAAGAAATAAGTGACTTACAGTGAACTGTGATGGCTGTTGAAGCAATCATGCTTTTTTTGTCTATCAGGGAGCACTTGTAGTCTCCTGTTGCATTGCGCCTCACATCTGTCAGTGTGTAAGTATTTGAGCTTCTTATTCCTTCGGGCTGTCCCTTTTGATAGAGGCAAAATGTCAGATGATTATACTTGATTGCTACAATGAGAACAGTTGTATTTCTTGATGAAGATAGCATTTTATCAGGTAAGATTAAAAAAGGGAATGTGTTTCATTCATCACACAAAAATAGTACAGTTTGTGTTACCAACATCTGATTCCTGGGCAAATAATTGATATTTTGGATCTAAGGAATTTGAGAGCTGATTTATTTTCTATTGATGACATTTATTTTATTGACATCATGGCTTTTGCTCGAGTTTCAAGTACATTTTTAAAAAGTCCAATGTTTTATTTTTATATTTATGCCTTATGTAATTTGACAAAAATATTTGAGGCAGCTTAAAAGGAAATATGGCATATATCCAGATTAAAAGAAAAAACACAAAAGGAAGGAAAGAAAGAAGAAAGGAAGAAAGTAAAAAGGAAGAAAGGATGAAATGAGAAGAATGAGAAAGAAAGGGGAAAGGAGGAGAGAGAAGAGAGGGAAAAATGACAAAAGAAAAAGAAAAGAAATTAAGAAATTAAGACTAGGAAAAATATAGATGATACAGGAATAATATATGTTAACAAAGAAAGATATTCAGCAGATATTATTGCAAAAACTGAGACACAAATTTGGCTGTGTCATCCCTGATAGCCAAAGCTGAAACCGAATTAGCTTCAAATTTTCCTTTGCAAATGAAATAAAAACAGCAATTAATTTATCAGGAGAAACAAAGTTTTCTGTCAGTATAAAGAAATTACTTATACTAGTCTTCTGAATAATGTAGTGAATGATATTCTTAAGTACTAATGAGTACTGTGGTAGGTGAAATTTGTAAGCACATCCCTGCAGTAAATGCAACATTGAGTTGCATATGGCTTCCCTCAATGCGAAAGTGATGTCAAACACAAAGCTACAGGAGTGCAAACAGGCATCCTCAGACAGAGCTCTCTCCTTGTCTGTTTCCACATCCTTATGACATGCAGAGCACATCCAAGACGAATTTTCCAAAGTATCCTCTATGCATATAATTTCCTTCAACTATGATATGGAAAAAAGTTGAGGAAATGGCATTTCAAGATTATACATAATGACAAAAAAAAAAAAAAGAGCCATAGCATTATCCTAAATATAACGTGCAACAGAACTATCCCTACTTCAGAGGGTTAGAGGTGTGTTCAGGGCAATGTTGTGGGCAGATTTAGAATCCACATCAATTCATTCACTGTCTTCAGTTTTCATTTTGTAGTTATCTGCTTCTGACGAGCAGATTCTTACAGTTTATTTGGATAATTAAATTTTAAGTTTTTGCAATTATGGTTTCCTGTGGTTGACTTTTTTTTTTTTTTTTCTCTTTGTCCTTGAAATCTCTCAGCATTGAGAAAAAAAGCAAGAACACTGGCAGGTGCAGAAAAAGCTTCCACATGAAATTTTATAGGTGGTGTCTCTTGTCCCCAGCAATAACATTTTTTCTCACTTCATCTATCCATGTAAGAACAATTCTTCATGTCAGCCGGAAGTCAAACAACAGGATAAAACGATAGTCATTCAACTCAAGTAATACTGAAGCACTTACTGGTAAGTAAAACAAAAACTCCTCTGGGGGAGGATTGCCATTTCCTAAGCATTTAAGAGTGACGTTATCCCCTTCTTTGATGGCAGTTTTTGGTGGCAGCACTTGTATTGTCACCTGCTCTGTAGGATCTGTAAGAGTTACAGACACAAGTTAACCATTTTTGTCAAGTACCGCATTACTCTGTGCATACAATGTAAATGACTAAATTATACATAATTTTCTCAAGAAGCTAGTAATGGTAATTGCTTAAATATACCTTTTTATAGAAGGATTGAAGCTAATAGCTACTTGCTATACAAGTACTAATCTTAGTTAGGGCACACTACAAAGAAACCCTGTTACATCAAAATCAATTTCTTCTTAGCAAAATGTCTTTAACTGAGGTAGGAATGGTGGTAATTATTTTATGTATAAAAGACCATAGGAACAATCAAACTGCATGGTTTTATTATAGGGAAATTTAATTATATATTATACGAATCATACAGTTTGGAAGGACAAAATTCAGCTAGCAAGCAGCTAAAGCTATTAGATACCACTGCACTCATATTGCATAATAATACTTCATATGAAATAAAAAGAGGAGACATGAGTTAACACCAGCAAGGATTTCCTGCATGCAGGAGAGAAGATCTGCTTAAAAAAAGATGAATCCTATGAACTGAGGGAGACCCTTGACACAATTGACAGGACTGTAAATGTATTATAATTTTGTCCTGTTCACTGGAGCCAAGATGCAACTTTCATTCCATTTTGGTCATTTTTATGGAGAAAATAGGGCTAAAGGGTATGCTTCAGCACAGGCTACTGCTCAATAGTAGAATGCTAATGAAATTGAATGCTGGATACAGTGAACCATATCTAGCAAACAGGAAATAAAATGAAGTGGTGCTGGCAGTTAGAAATGATCCACTAACGTATCCATTTGTTATATTGCTGGATAATACAGTGAATAATAAATTTTCAAATCATATAATGCCAAGGTATGTTTTACAGAATGTTTTCCACAAGACTTAATAATTATTGAGGCATGTGTCTATATTTCCAAGCTGGTGACACTAAAAATTATCTATAAAAACCTACTTTTTTTTTATTAGCTAACAAATGAAATGAGTAAGTTATACTTTTGGAGGCTTTGTTCTATGTCTTGCGGTCATTTATTTACCTTTCTATAAATAAAGTGCAGATAAAAAAAACTTAAAGGGTTGTTACAGAAGGTTGTTATAGAAGGTTGTTACAGATTGCTTCCTTGCCTTTTTTCTCTATGCTTGGGCATCTCTGAATATTTGTCCAGTGTATTCTGAGGCTAAATGGTGATTGATTTAATATACTTCATATTTGTTTTTCTGGATTTGCCTGAAGTAGTTTCCTAACCAGCAGTTCCCGGTGAGGTTGAAAAGTGAATACAATTTGGTTTTGGTGCCCTGCTGACCTTCTGTTTCTGGGCCTCTCTTGCTTTCTTACTTGGCCTTTCTCTGACTAGTGCACAGGTTTGGCCTGTGGCATGTCACTGCGGCACATCTCTGATCAAGGCTGACACAACAGAACAGCCAGGGATGGCCATCTCCGACTTCTTTCTCTATTTTAAAACTCCACTTCTCTGTGTTCCCTTTTCAACAGGCTCTGTTTTGTATTAGAGAGTCATCAAAGGGTTAATGTAACCCATTTGCATTTTGACAGTAACTCTGCGTGTCCACTAACATGCTTACCTCAAAATTAATGATCTCTTGCTCTGCCTTTGCCCCGACTTTGAATTTTACTCTGCCCATTGGTAAATCATCATTTTGCCCATTACTCTGGCTTTCTCCTTTGCCTTCTCTTATCCATTCAGTCACCATGTCTTGATGATTAATACTTTACAATATATTTTGGGTCTGATTCTCCCTTTCTATTCTCACTTACACTTCCCTAGTCCATGTCCTAATTAACCTACACCTGAAGCAATGCCATCAAATTTCACTTGGTTCCTCACCTTGAGCCTCCTTCCTTTTGATCCTTTCATATATATTTCCTCTGAATCAGTTTTCTGAAGTAGCGCTTTGAATATCACAATGATACTCAAAATCTGTTACACATTCCCAATATATAAAGATTAAAAATAAAAATTCCTTAGCCTGGTATCCACAATTTGGCTTGAACCCAGCTCAAGTGAGAGTCTTATCTCTTACTCTGCTACATAAACCCCTACAAAATAACTAACACTGTCTACTGAAATTTTCTTTTCATGTATTTATTTATCCTACAGTCCTTCATTTATTTATTTGTTTGGCATTTATTTTGTGCAAGCCTTAAGTGCTGGAATTATAAAGTTTAAAACCCTGCCTCAATGAACGTTTCCTCTATTTGTAAGCATACCAAACTTAATAATTAAGAGTATGACCACATAAAACCTGCATGTGACACAAGCATAGGGATCCTGGTAGCCATCGATACAGGAGATTAGGAAGCTTCCTGGAGGAACTGACCCCGGAGCTGGGTTTTGACACATAAATGGGTGTTTGCTAAATGATAAAGGTGGGAAGACGACAGCATATGCATAGCCATGTAAGTATTACTCTACAGAAGGAATCAGGAAAGTAGAACAGACCACAGTGGATACAGGCAGTGATGAGGGCTGAGCACTACCTAGGACCATGGCTAAAACGAACTCAAGGCATACTGCAGTGTGGGGAGGGGGAAGGATATTAATCTGAGAGCTCTGGGGAGTCACTGAGAAGTTTTTATCACATTTGTGTTTTAGAAAAATACATCTGGCCTCAGGTTGGAGGGCAGTTTATTTGGGAGTGAACAGAGAATGGTGGGCAGACAAGATAAATACTATTTTGCAATTCATTGGAAAAATACTACTTTGAAATCCATTGTAGAAATACAGGCAATGAGGAATGGTGGCATAAACGTAAGCAGTGTCAGAAGGCAGAAATCAGATAAAAACAAAGATTAAAGAGCTAGATTCTCTAAAACCTCATTACTGATTGAATAGGGTAAGAAAGGAGTGGACTGGTACATTTTTCTCAAGCTTTCTCAATATGAATTTGCCAATTTTTTTTTTTTTCTTGAAATGGACTTGTCTCTCCTTTCCATTTAGCGCTCTCCTTCTGTTCTCTGAAGTCTTCCTAGAGCAGTGGTTCTCCACTTGTAGTCCTCAGATCAGCACCATTAGCACCATCGGGGAATTTGTTACAAATGCACAGTGTCAAGCACTTTCCTACACCCACTAAATCAGAAACTCAAGGCCAGAGTGCAGCAATCTGTGCTCTAAAAAGTCCTTCATGTTCTTCTGACGCACACTACAGTTTGAGAACCACTGTCCTCGGGCACCTGAGCCTTCAAGACTCTTAATACTGAGTTCCTGAGGCTTTTACCCTTACAATCCTGCATTGGCAATTTCCTTCTGATGTAGGTGTTTTGCTTCTCTATTGGAGTAGTACACTCTTTGAATGTGAGGACTGTCTTAAACTGCTTCTTCCTGCTTCGCGTTTTCACCATGAAGCTCAGCACTGCGTACACTGTGGCTTCTTAAAAGCCATGCCAAGTGCACCTTACACAGCCTGCATGATAAAATCATTTTCTTCACATCCATTCAAGGATTTCTCTGTCTACCCAACTCTGTATGCCTCACACTCACAGATATTTCTGTTCCTTCTGAAGCCAGTTTCCCAATTCTTATTACTTATCTTGATGTTCTCTCCTGTCTTGTACACCTACACTTACACCAATATGGTTCATTTCCAACTGGATATTTCTAACAGAAAGAATTCTGGGCCGGGCATGGTGGCTCACACCTGTAATCCCAGTACTTTGGAAGGCTGAGGTGGGCAGATCACCTGAGGTCAGGAGTTCGAGACCAGCCTGGCCATCATGGTGGAACCCCACCTCTACTAAAAATACAAAAATGAGCAGGGTGTGGTGGGACGCGCTTGTAATCCCAGTTACTCAGGAGGCTGAGGCAGGAGAATCACTTGAACTCAAGAAGTGGAGGTTGGAGTGAGCCAAGATTGCGCCACTGCACTCCAGCCTGGGTGACAGAGTGAGACTACATCTCACCCCCCCCCAAAAAAAGTTTGATTTTAGATAAGCTATACATAATGATATACTAATTTCTTGGATTTAAATCAAGTTGAAACTTATTTCCCAAGTTTAAGGCAAAACTACTTTTTAATATTAGGGCAACTTTGGAAGAATTTCACCTTTTTTTCCCGTGTAAGATATTGTGTCCTAGGGAACCTAAAAAAGAAATGTAGGTGAGGTGATACTCTCGAAAGGCTCAGCAGGCATTCTTGGCTTTTCTCTAAAATAGATGTAGAAGAGCTAGAGTATCACAAAAATTTTAGATAAATTAATAATAATAAGGAGAAAATCCTTTATTGTATTTTCCCCCCAAATATATATATATATTTTTTAGACAGAGTCTCGCTCTGTTGCCCAGGTTGGAGTGCAGTGGCGCTATCTCGGCTCACTGCAAGCTCTGCCTCCTGGGTTCACGACATTCTCCTGCCTCAGCCTCCCAAGTAGCTGGGACTACAGGCGCCTGCCACCTTGCCCGGCTAATTTTTTGTATTTTTAGTAGAGACGGGGTTTCACCGTGTTAGCCAGGATAGTCTTGATCTCCTGACCTCGTGATCTGCCCACCTTGGTCTCCCAAAGTGCTGGGATTATAGGCGTAAGCCACCGCGCCCGGCCCTGCCCCCAAATATCTTCAGCTCTATGTTTATATTGTGATAATGACCATATAGCAATAATAATGAAGTACTTAATAATGACAATTTAATGTGTGATGTAGTATGCTATTTTTGATTTGTGATTTCACTTACTCTCTATAACAACTCTATCAGTTAGGTATTACATTTTTCCCATTTCAAAGTAAGAAAACTGAGATGTAGAGTAGTTAACTACTTTGCAAGAAATGGTAATTGATAATGCTGGGACTAGAATGCCAGCATTTTTGCTCCTAATCATTAGACTACCTTGGCACCTGTCTTACAAGGAAAGCACAGCAATGGAGAAAACAATTCTATTCTAATATCTACAGCTAATTCAGGGCAAGACTCTGTGCCTCACTTTACTAACTAAAATAATGAAGTTAAAACAGATGACCATGAAGACTCCTTTGTAGACAAATACTCCTTTTCAAATACATGATTTAGTTAAGTAAAATGTCTTGTAATACAACATCCTATCAAACTTATGCAATTGATCTCATTATTAAAATAACTTTTTTTCATTAAAATGGTAATCTCTTATTTAGAAAGCCAGTCAGTCATAAGTCTATATTTGTCTGTCATTCATCCAGAAAATGATCAGTTAGAAATCTTATCTTTAAGGAATTTAGTGTGTAGTGGAATTCAGAAGAGACAGCTATAGATAAAAAGTAGAGAGTGAAAGGTATTATAGGATGGATACATGTTTATTCATGCTATGGTCTCCTAAAGAGGAAGAGATTATTTGGGTACCATCAATTTGGGGTGCAGATTGGAAGCCGAATTCAAAGAGTAATTGGATTGGGACCTCAAAGATTAATAGCATTTGAATATTATTTCTAATACATTAAATAACATAATTATGTATTGAATAACTTACAGTAAATATCAAATACTGCCTGTTCAGAATGAACTGTTTTCTGGCCAGATGGTCCATAATATGTGACAGAGCAGGTGAATGGCATTTGTATGTCAGCCTTGGTTGTCTTGTACTCCAGGGTGGAAGTCATGGTATAGAGCTGAGTCACTGGGTCCATTTCCTTTTTAAAAATTATGACCACCGCTGAAGAAAATAAAGAACACTGATGATAGGGTCTTTCATCTGACAATCACAATCCTTAACGAAACAGCACTACACCTTTGAAAAGTGTTTTTTTTCCTTCTAACTGTATTTAGCAGGAGAGAAAATTGACATGTAGTGAGGTTAGATGTCATTTCAAAACCGTGAATCAGAGACACGGAAATAGAATCCTGGAATCCTATTTCCCACTCACTTTAATTAACTTCTAGTCATGCCATATACAGAAATTATTTTCTCCGCTCTTGATTCTTCTGTACAAGGGCTGAAAGTGGTGTTTAAAAAATCACGTTATTAATTTAGTACATACTTAAAGTAACAGAGCATAAGAGTCACAGCTCAAAAGAGGGCAACGTATTTAGATCCTGAATAGTTTAAAGTGGGGGTCTCCAGCCCCCAGGACTGGTACTAGTCCACACAGCAGGAGGTGAGTGGTGGGCAACCACAAGAAGCTTCTTTTGTATTTAGAGCCACTCCTCATGGCTCACATTACTGCCTGAGTTCCTCCTGTCAGATCAGCTGTGGAACTGGGTTCTTATAGGAATGCAAATCCTGTTGTGAACTGCGCATATGAGGGATCTAGGATGCATACTTGTTATGAGAATCTGACACTTGATGATCTGTCACTGTCTCCCATCACCCCTAGATGGGACTGTCTGATTCCAGAAAAAACAAGCTCAGGGCTCTCACTGATTCTACATCATGGTGAGTTGTATAATTATTCCATTTTATATCACAATGTAATAATAATAGAAATAAAGTACACAATAAATGCAATGCCTGTAAATCATCCTGAAACCATCCCCCCACTCCGATCCAAAGAAAAATTGTCTTCCATGAAACCAGTTCCTGGTGCCAAAAGGGTGGAAGACCACTGGCTTAAAGAATACTTAGAAAAAAAAAAGTCAGAACAGGTCCTCTGAATGTACTCCCTGTCCCCCTGCCCTCATACCCACCTCCTTCAAGGGGATGTAGCACTTTTCCGTTCCTGTACCATGTGATGTTGCCATCTGGATAACTGTCTTCTGAAATACAGTCACCCAACTGCAAAATAAAAAGGCAATATTACTACCTCAGTTCAATCAGGGGCTGTCAATTTGGAAACTCCAGAAACTCAGGCAATGCAGAGTTATTCCAAAGGTTTCTTGACCCGTTTATTTTCCAACACTGACAAAAGACTGAATATATGCTCTCTGGTATAAAAACAATGTCATTTTAAGATATTTTTAACAACTGTATTTGAAAATATAGTTTTGACCATTTTTAAATGTGCAATAGATGGTGTCACTATTATAAAATCACATTCATTTGAAAGCATTGCCAAATTCATTTTGACACTATTCATTTTTAACATTAACCAAATAACATTACTCTATTAACATTGACTATTACCATGAATCATAGATCTTCATATGGAAGAATAATTTGGTGTTAAAATGGGGCTGTCTCTCTAATTTCATACTACATATATTTCAAGATGATATATATTATCATGCTCTATAATTCCCCTCACTTTCTTTAAATGTATTTTAACTTTAATATTTGGTATTCATCAAATAATTTTATGCAGTAAAATTTAATCTGATGCAAAGAATGTAGGACTTGGGTTTCCACCTCCCAGCAAAGGAAAACTTTGGTATTTTCATTAGATTATTATTCAATATGGAACTCCAAATTTGTCCCCCACTTTAATACAGCTTCCCTTCACACATCTGCTAACGCGTTGTTCAAATCTGATCTCACCTCTTTACTTCAATCTTTCAATAGTTTAATTTGTCAACAGAATAAAGTCCAAACTCCCTATTTAGTATGTAAGATTTGTCATGATCCAGCTTTTCTTTGCCTCTCCAGATTGATCTCTTTCAATCCTTTCTTGCTTTCCGTCTTGGCACCCAGTTTCATCAATGCCAAAACTTGCTGTTTCCCTAACACACCGTTCTCTTTCATATCCTGTTATTTCATATTGTTGGAAAGCCCTTTCTACCTTTGGCTTGGCGAAAATCTATTCAACTTTCATCATTCTCTCTATATATTTTTTCTACACAGGGTCTTGCTCTGTCACCCACAATGGAATGCAATGGTGCCCACACGGCTCACTGTAGCTTTGACCTCCTAGGCTCAAGCAATCCTCCCACATCAGCCTACCGAGGAGGTAGGACCACTATGCCCAGCTAACTTTTCAATATTTTTTATAAACAAGGTCTTGCCATGCTGCCCAGGCTGGTCTCGAATTCCTGGGCTCAAGGGATCCTCCCACCTTAGCCTCCCAAACTGCTGGGCTTACAGGCATGAATCACACCAATTGGCTTCATCCTTCTGTTAATCCATTAATTCAAATAAGAAAGATTCCTCTTTTCAGAAACGACCCCACCTTCCTTGATGTCCCCGTGGTCACCTGAGACTGTGAGTGTGTTGTACTCTGTGCCTTGTGCATAATTGCTGATTGGTAGCTGCAACACTGTCACCTCCACAAGAGCAAAGCCTATCTCATTTGTCCTGGAATGTAAGGTCAGAAGAAGGCACTTACAACACTGGGCTAAATAAAGGTATTAATCAAAAACAATTCTTACCTTTTTTAGCTGCTCTGTTTCGAGAAACAGTGCTTTGCGTACAATTTCAGGCTTAGATGGTTGCTCTAAAGTTAAGCAGAGAAAGATTTTAAGTACATATGTAAGAAAAATGGGACTTCTGTGATTTGATTTACAGCAGAAACAATTCATTTACTCAATACAGAAGAATAGGCAATAGAATAAAAATAGATATCATTATACAATCTGGACTTAGGGAATCTATAGGCCTATCCCTTTCAAATATTTACTATCTTAAATATTATTTTCAGTGCTTGTAATTCCTTTGAATAAAATATCAATAATGCTTTCTGAATGCTTTATAAATAGTGAATATGGATTTGATAGTGAAACAGGGAATAGGATATATCCTATATAGGATATATTGTCTCTAATTGAGAACCATGAGCACTTCTTACTTATCAGTAACTTCCAGCTCATTAAGTGAAGACATTAATGTACATGAACCAGAATCACAAAGGGACTTGTTTAAAATTCAGATTTCTGAGCCCTATTTGGCCTACTGAATCAGAATTCCTGAAAAACAAAATCCCATAACTCTACATTTTAAACAAGTTTCTAGGGGATTCTCAGTCACCATAAAGTTTGAGAAACACTATTCTAAAATCATGGGAAATAGAAAGCAAGTTAAGGAATTTATAAACTCAAATTTCTGAAATATCTCTAACTTTACCTCTTAAGCCAAGTCACAACATGAAACTGTAAATGTGAGAAAATCTTTCAAATGTGGAACCTGACATGATGGACAAAAATATTTTAAATATAGGAAGTTCTAAGAAACATAAATTTTAATAAAAACTTCAGGAGCAATTGATTAAAAGTTGCAGTAACAATTTATTACTTAAACTGATTTTAAGTTATTTTATTCTTAGCTGCTATTTTCTATCAATGATGAATTTTGCGCTTTTTAAATAGCTCCAACAATTCGTTTACACAAAAAGTATATTGCCTCATTGTCACTGATTTGTGTGAGTCTCATGGACCAAAATTATTTTATTTTCTTATAAACAAATGTATTTAAACAATCAGCTACTTTTTCTTTTATAGTCTTATTGTTTACCAACTAATACTTTTAATTTTCATTACCAAACTAAACTTGGCTTTTGTATAATTATTATTCAATTTGTAATTCAGTTATTAGACATGTTACCTCCCCAGATCATTACAGAAAACAAGGAAAATGACAAAATGTCTCTGGGGTAGCAAAATGAATATCTTTAGACTGTATGAGAAACAAATATAACCTTCTTTAGGTTACTATCTAGAGTTAATTTCCCCTCATATATATGTTTTATATTAGATATTAGAATAATGAACAAAAATAATAAATCCTCCCATGTGTTAAATTCATGTACTTTATAAGAGGGCCTACTTAACTATTAATTCTAGAAATGTAATTCCACAGGTACAATTTTCACAGTGATGATTTCTAGTTTCCAAGTACACTGATTGGGAACAAAACATAAACAAGATAGAACAATAGAAAAAATAAATCTAGAAAAATAGAAAGACACAACAGAGGCAATTAATGTTAACACAAACTAGAAGTGACACCTGACGACCTGGTTGGTAGGATGGTGACCATAAAATAATAAAAAGTTGATCAAGAAAAAAAGCTTCTCAAAATAGACACCAGTTTCTGGGAAACATATTGTGTGGGGGTTAGTCTTTCACATCAGAGTAAACCTTGTCATTATCGCTATTCTAATAGAATGTTATTAATGTTCATAATTGCAACTCTGAGTTATTGATGAAACACTGAATCTTATTTGGAATCCATGTCTTAAAAAGGCAAATATATCTAATACATTTGAGAGAAGGATGCATCTGAAATATTTAAACAAAAATAAAATTCTTGGGGTGTAAGTAAGTCAAAGTTTTCTGGAAACTGAAATCAGTTATTTAGTGACACCCTCTCTGAGAGCTCAATAGATGTAAAATATGCAGTTAATTTATGTGGCTAATCAAGAATCAAAATGAATGAAAAAAAGGTCAAGACGTTCTTAATTTCTCCTTCAAGAGTATTATCCCTGGATTAAGTGGTGATATTCAGCAATTCTCCCCATAAATTTAGGTTCTAAATACACAGATTTGGTAGGTCGCTTTGCCAAGTTTCACTACGTTCCAGTTCACCAAAGTAAAATATCAAGACTGTTGAGCACATACTCTTTCTCTAATAGAAAATGTATACCTTTACTTTGCTTTATAAACCCTGTGATGTTTTATCAATGGACCCATAATCATAAACACTTTGTATTTCGATCTTTGGTCCTTTACTCCTGGTCATATGTGTTTTCTTGCCATAAATGCTTTATAAAATTCTTTATTTTTTCAATGAAATGAAACTGTAGCAAATCTAAGGAAACCCGATGAAAGGATGTTTAAAGTTTAATCCTGTTTACATTATGATTCATCTCTCTATTTGGAAAAGAGGGTCACAGTGAGTATTGTGAATGTAATGGTAATACTTATTTCATTTTCCTGAGTTATTTTCTCCTTAAATGTTTGTTTCGAGCCCTCTATATTAACTATGTATCTTGAATGTAATTTTCTTTTATATTAGGTTGTAACAATTGATGGGTATTAGTTGGAGGACCATAAAAGAGGACATGTACTATTTTAGCAAAATTGCATATTGATTCCAAAGTGTTAAAAAATAGTCTGTGTGAATTATATCTTAACACGACTCAAGGATTCATAACCAAGGACATAATTGAAAGGAAAAGCAATGCTACAAATTTACTTGCATCATTAAAGTAATTTAGTCAAGGGTAATGATTTAAGCCAAATTTTGCTTCTGAATCTTCTTGACTGAGTTTCTCTAAATCACTCAACTGAATATTTATCAAATGGAAAAATCATGCCTTGTTTATTTTCTTTTTTGCTGATCTGGCTATCTTAAGTACTTAGAAGCTATAATAGGGCCACACTACAGTAGTTTAAAATTATAGAATAGGGAGATTAAAAATATCTTACCATGTTTATTCTAAATCTGATGGTAGTTTACAAGGGGTGTGTGTGTGTGTGTGTGTGTGTGTGTGTGCATGGATGTGTGTGTTAGAGACGGAGGCAGCTGATATTCATGGCAACATGTAGTATGTGCCAATATCTTGGCAATGATATATAATGCTAAGACTCAAATGATTTTTTAAAAAATACTTTTGTTTTAAGCTGGGGGGTACAAACGCAGGTTTGTTACATAGGTAAAGTTGTGTCATGGGGGTTTGTTGTACAGACTATTTCATCACCTAGGCATTAAGCCTAGTAGTACCTATTAGTTATTTTTCCTGATCCTCTCCCTCTTCCTACCCTGCTTCCTCTGAAAGACCCCAGTGTGTGTTGTTCTCCTTTATGTGTCCATGTGTTCTTATCACTTAGCTCCCACTTACAAGTGAGAACATGCAGTATTTGGTTTTCTGTGCCTGTGTTAACTTGCTATGGATAGTGGCTTTCAACCAAATAAATTGCAGGGCTCTCACTAATATCCATTAAGGGCTGATCATATATAGTGAAAAGTTAAGCTGCATGTAATATTTAGTGCCAATTAAAACATTTCATAAATAGTGCCCTTACTTTTCCCTCTACTTCTTTTTGTTTTATGTCATCTGCAGAGTTATACAGGAGATTTTATAGCTGGAGAAGAAAGAAATTGTGGTAAGGGGCTGGGGAGTGGTCAGAAAGAAATATACTGAAATAGATAGCTCCTTTTGTTCTAATAACCAGACTATTGCTAGTGAGAGCTATGAACATTAGACTTCAGAGAATCTAAAAATCAGCGAACTACTAAAATGTATATTTTTTGGCATCCAGCCAGCTCATAGCAAGGTGAGAATGTAGTGAAGAAGGCACAACTGCTCTGTATCACCCACAGCGTTCTAGTATTACTATAAAAACCCACACATAGGATAGCTCAATTTAGTAAGAGAGGCGAGCAAGTGAAGGCAGATGCAAATGGTCGTGCTGACTCAAAACTGCTCCTCCCAGTACTTTGTCAGCAATCACCCCTCACAAATCATGAAGTACTTCAAGCAAACTACTGTGGGCAAAAGGTGTCTTTTATATTTAAATAATCAAAATGAAATATCTGGTGTGGATCTCATTGTTAAACAGATCATTTTCTGCATCTTCGCCCCTCGACACCCCCCAAAATTTTACTTTTAAGTTGAATGACTTCTAGGAGGAGGGTAAAAGCAAAGACACTTAATTCTGATAAAGCAGTCGGAACAGTATTCAAATGGGAGGAATCCAAATAAAAGTTCTGAAATACCTCTGTGTGAAGTCACGAAACCTGGCCCATCATCATAAGACCTGGTCCATATGTACCACAGAGCAGACTCCGCGTCCCCAATACCACAGAGAACCACCAGAGTAGACTAGACTTGCAATTGGCATGGGGTGTGGTTTTCAAATTTTTTTTAGAGCTGGAGCCACTCCTCCCTTTTTTTTTTTTTTCCTTGAACAAATTATCATGAAAAACTTTGAAATGTTGAATAGACCGAAGTCTCATTCATCAGGTAGAAATAGTTCCTCATCTTCCTCAGCTGTCTTCATTAACTCCTGAAGAAGATACTAGCAGCAGAATGGGAGAACCTCCCGTCTCATCCAAAGTATTCATTTTACTGATGAGGAGTGAATCTCAGCCCCAGACTGGGGAGGTGACTTGCCCAAAGTCAGAAATTGGCAGCAGATCTCACAAAGTAAGGTCTCCTGGTGACCCACTCAGTGACTGCTCCATCTCACCACCAACAGCCTTCTGGCTCTCTGGGTACCCATTTGACTTCTAGACCTTTTTCACAATCACTAGAATGAATCTTTGGGCACCTTTAAAGGTTGACACTTGCTTCTGAATGGTTTTATTAACCTCAAATGTGCACTAAATAAAAACACAGTTTGATTTTGATGCCATTCAACTAAAAGAAAAAAGCTGATTAGTGGTGACTAAGAAAGCCACTTTTTTGGATTTGGGCTGATTTATAGGTATGGTTTCTTGCACATGAGGAATAGCTTAAAATTAAACAAGCAAACCTACATTAAAGATAGCAAAGTCATTCGCCAGGGGCTCTAGTTTGAATAAAAACAATTTGACTTAGCTCTCATATGAGGATGGCAATCAGCAGCAGCCTGATCTGAGACTGGCTCCCATTAACCACACTTGATTCTATGGTACACGGTGCACGTTGCTAGGTGATTCAACAGAGGGAAACAGAGGACTGATTGATGGGCTTAGTAACTCTTAAGTGACTGTAATATATACACGCAGAGAATGAAAGTCTCCCTGTCACAGCTACTTTTTTGCTTCACAGAAAGCGACCCAAAGTAAATTCATTGAAAACAAAACAAAACAAAACAAAACAAACAAAGCCAAACTGAAGCCCCTATATGCTTTTTGTAAACACTGTCTTTATAGTAAGTTCTGCTGTTCATTTTACTGGATTTGGAGGGTCTCACGAGTTCTAGTATAAAACACCATTTTCAAGAGTGTGTAACTTGTCTATGCAAATTCTCCCTGGCCCACATCCTGGAATGCAAATTCTGTTTCTGAGAATCACTTTGTTTTCAACAACATCAAAAAGAGAAGGGAGTAGGCGGGTGCTGGCGGTAGGTGGGGTGTGAGTTTGTTTTCACAATTATAGAAATTCCCTGTGTTCCAAATCAGCTTATAAATTTTATTGAATTAGGCCAACTGATTTTTTTCAGATTTCTGAAAAAATGAGATTTGGGCTGATTTATAGGTATGATTTCTTGCATATGAAGAATAGCTTAATGCTTTTTCTTTTTTTTTTTTCAAAAAAATGTTTTGATAACTGTCACAAACAATTCTTCCAAATGAAACCAACTGAATTTTCTCAACTCCCTTATATACTACCGTCTCGATGTAGGAAAATTTTAACACCTTAAAAATGAAACCTGACAATGACAAATTAATACACATAATCATTAGAGTGCTGCGACTTAACCTCTGTACCTACTGCGGTCCATTTTTGATGACAGGTTATATTATGACATTATAACTTTCACCAAAAACCTTTTGGATTACTCGCTTTAGAAAAGTGTCCTGAGCAGTGCACTATTCATCTTTCTAAGAACGTGAAAGCGAAATAGAAGAAAAGAAAAAAAGAAATACATGGGCCACTGGCAAATGTAGGATGCAGACTATTTGGGATGTTTTATGGAAATGGGCATGACTGCAAACACTTGGTACTTGGTTTGATTCATAAAACGATCGAGAAGTGTGGATGGTTTCTGGAAAGTGCCTTCTAAGCTGAAAGGTAATTAACTGAAACATGTAATATGCTTTTACAAGGTTCTTCTGGGGAACAAAGGTTTCCTTTGATAGTATAAGCATGCTTTGAATCTGCATCATGAGCCCAGAGGAGCTTTGAAGTCCACATAAATACTTGAGGGACAGACCTACTTAGTTGCATAGGCTATTACAAGAGAAACAGGAAAAATCCATAGTTACTTGCTGCAGTTGGAAGGCCCTCTGGGTTCCTTTCTTCCCTATTTATTTTAATAATTTCTAGGCGCTGTCAAGTTATCAGAAAACAGAGCGGGAAAAGTTGTAAAGTGAAACCTTCTTCCCTAATTAAAAAAGACTGAAAGACTGGCATTCTGAAACTTTTGAGACCTGTTTCTTTCCCTGTAAGTGTCTAAAATATTGTGAAGTAACAGAGGTGGGACTTTTTATTTGAGTTTTAAAAGATGAAATGCTTTAATTATAACTTCTCAAGTCATTCATTTGCACAGCTGTTTGCACAATAACATTAACTATATGCTATCATTATGCAAAGTAATTTTGTCATAGTGACTATAATTATTCCAAGTTTCTTCTACAATTTTCTCTTCTTCCATCCCTACTCTTTCTCCCCTTGGTGTATCCCACATAAGCATTCAGGGTGTGGTGAGTTTTTTAAATTTTAGGACAATTTTCTAAACTGAGTGAATACTTTTTGAAATCTAAATCAATAACCAATCAATAAAGGTCAGGATGGAAATGTATCTATATCTCTAATACATATAATATATAAAATGTTTATATGGATATATATAGGGTACTTATATATGTGGATATATATAAATGGAAAATTTAGATCTCTGTTAAAATGTAGTTTGAATTTGCTTATATTTTATGTTATGTATCAAAATGGCAATTTCATATGGTTCAGCCAAACACATGTGTATGTATGCATGATATACATGATTACATATGTATCATATATCTATATATGTATCACACAACACTTATTTGTACATGTCAGTAAAAGTTAAGATCGCGTGCTAGTTATCAGTAGTACTTCATATCATAGTTCACGACATTTTTACATGACAAAGCAACAGAGAATATCATTTTAGTTCCTCACTGCAAATCTCCTATTTGAATTTCATACTCTTTGTTTTCCTTGCTGATATTATACAGGAGCAGAATGAAGATCTCCTTAAGTTCCCTTATATAGATACCTGCTATAGAGACACTACAGAGAGTTCAGTCTTCTTTCTAAAGAACATGGTCTGGTACTGGCCATCGATCCCACTTAGCAGTGACACTGCTGCAGACTACTTACTGAACACCTTGACTATTGTAGGTGCCTCAAACACGTTGTCCTCAGTTACTAGCATGCACACAAATCTCTTTTCATCACTGATCCTTGCATTACTGATAGACAAAGTGTAGTTCTCTGAGAGGCTCAGTCTGTCTTTGTATTCTGGTACATCGTCGTACTGCACACTTTTCTTTGTAGAGGACCTGAAGGCAATAAATACAGGGGAGCCATCGGGCTTTTCCTAAAAATTAAAATAGTAATACATTTTAAACACAAACATATTCAGATGTTTCAGGATTACATTCAAAATAACAACATTTCCTTGGCCATATTCTACCAATATCTATATTTTTTGTCTACGAATAATAATTTTGTATACAGTTCTCACGTAAATATTTGATTACAGAAAATTCTTCATAAGAGAGCTTTAAGATCTTTTACAGGTATCAATTTATATGAGTAAAAATGAAAGGGTAGAGCTCTAGGAATCTGAGATATTTTTTTTTTCACCGAGAAGATAGAACTAGTAACTGTTTTGAAACTTACATGGGCTGTATATGTTTAATATAAAATAAAACATAGATAAATGCAAACAAAGGTACAAAATGATGTTCAGATAACCATCACGGCAGGCATACACTTGAGCTGCAAATACTAGTTTGGATATTTTGGGCAATTATCTTTGGAATATTCTTTACTTTAATCCACACATTTTAAATGTCCACACCTTTAACCAAAGCTGTTGTAGCTGACCTTTATACATAGAATAGTTTAACCAGTCTTGATGGAGAAATAGTATTTACCCTTGTAAAATAATTATGCCCATTAATGAATGAATCAGATTAACGAACACAACCCATAGCTTTGCTGAATCTTAACAATGAGCTCAAAAGGCTTTCATACAAAAACTTATCACCAAAATAAGATATACTCTGCACACACAATTATGCCAAGACATATAATGCATTTCTTCCTCTGGTCACACAAAAATTCTCTCATCTAATAAGCAACTTAATCGAAAATCAGGGGCAGTCCCTCCTTTATGTATCACACAAGATCTTTGAGAAAATTAAATGTGATGTATGTTATAGTCCATGAGAAATTTTAAGATTCCAAGGAGGATTAAGTTTTAAGAATTAATAATATCAATTACTAAGTTAATATTGGAGTCCAAAAGTTTTATATGCTTAAATATCTGAATATATCGATAACATTCTTCTTAACTCTTTTAGATTTATCACAGGTTTACAATGCAAATCCTTGTCTTAAGTCATTCCTTCATTATGCAAAGTATATTAGACCACTACCTTATTCATTCCCTTAGGCAATAAATAACAGTTACTAATTTTTGAGCACTTAACTATATGGCAGATGTTTCCTTTGGGCTTTCTATGCAGTAATTAGTTTGATATTCATAACAGCCTTATAAGTTAAACTTAAATATTAGCCTCATCTACAGACTAGATGATGAAGGCTGAGTTTGGTTAAATAACTTCCCAAGGTCTTGGCTGGGAAATCTTAGCAGAGCAAAAATTTGAGCTTAGAGCTTGGTCTTATTATGGTTACACTGCACCACTCTTGATAGCCTTCAATCCCTCTTCTGCACCAGGCACTATGACAGATAATGGTGAGGAGGTTTCAGGAGTAGGGCTGGGAGGAATGAACAGGGAGCTATGATCTCCATTCATAGGGAATTTACAATATGATCCAGGAGAAATCAGGTCATTTCTTCTCTATGTTTACTTCAGCTAATTTTTCCAAAACTTTCTTTTTCTTGTAGGTGGTTACATTAAATTAGAGCATATATGCTATTTCTGCAAATCAAGATTGACTTTAGAGCATATAGTGCCTCAAATGTATCTCAGTGTATTGCTGAAGTCTTTTGCTTAACTAAGAATGTGAAAATTGCCATGATTGTTTGATTTCCAGTGCCACTGTGCCAGTTCAGTTTAGGTGAACCCTACTCCCTGAGTGAATGCTACTCCCTGCCTTATAGTTAGAATTTTCTATGATCATAAAAGTTTGCCATCACCTGACTCCATTTATTTTGGCAGCAAATTTGATTGAACAAGTGCATTATGTGGTAGTCTCCTGGGCACTTGGAATTTTGAGGGCACTAGTAGACTCTGTCTTCAGAGGCCTTAACGTCGAATTTCCACATTTATAGGAAACCGGAAATAGTTCAAAGTTACCTCGAGTGAGCTAGATACTAAATAGAAGGAGGCTACAGAGAAATGCTGTGCTGCCTTACCACTTTCCTTTCCTTTCCTTTCATTTCCCACTCACACGAGCATAGTATGGTTAGGATTCTGCAGCATCACAGACATGAGTTCACTTTGTTGAATGATTACTACACGGCAAGTACAAGGTAAGTATTTTGATATCAATTTCTTCAGGTAATCTCACAACAACACTATGAGGAAGATATTTTTATCTCATTTTATGGATGAAAAAATAGGGATTAATTCATCTGCTCAGAATCTCACAGTGAGCACATTGTGGAACCTGCTGATTTCAGAACCTATATTTTAAAAGGCTGTGTTAAACCACCCCTTGAGTGCAAGCTTAAGCACATTTCTTAGACTGTGTTCTGCAGAATGTTTGTTCTTGGAGATGTCTGAGGAAAAAAGTTCTGTGGTCAAATAAACCTAAGAAATGAATCAAACTATGGCCCTCAGACAATTCTTAATGCATTTTACGTATGAAAGGCTCTGAGAAGTGGTGCAACAAACTTTTTGTAAAGTATTTGACCATCAAATTCTTTTCCTTTGCAAATACCTTTTAACATTTCAAGGAGTTAGGGGAATTTTGCTATTGTGTCCAGGGACACAATCTACCTGAAGCTTGCAGACTGTCGTGAGTCTCCTGTGGTCCAGCACTGGGAAATTGTACCACACAAACATTTTGCATTAATATTAATTAATTAAATTGAGGTATTTTATTAGTCAAAGTTACATAGTCATTCCACATCTCCCTACCAGGATCTCTACCCTCCATTTCCAGACCCATTTGTACCTTCATACCTGAGAAAATTTGATTTTGCTATCTGCAAGAAATATGGGAAAAAATCAACATTGTTAAATATAAAAAGGACCTTTTATAAAATGTGTTATATATAAAAATGTGTTACATATCAACACATTTTTAAGGCTAAATGTCAGAATCAAGCTTGTAATACTGACGATTAATTCTGAAATACTGTCTAAGGGCTCTATCTACTGATCTATCTTGTCTCTGCAATAACCACGTCAAATAGAACATGAGCAAACGAAGAAAGGTTGCCATCCTCCACTGAGTTCAGTCCTATAATCCACTGATTTTATTCTGGAACTCTGCCTTTTTCTTTGCCTCTAACACGTAAGGGGGAATCTTTCAGACTAACACATTCTAAGAACTATGGGTTTATTTGCTTTATTTTAAAATATCATTTGTTATGTAAGATAGGAATTATTTTTTGCCATATTCCACACATTAATTTTGCCTTCCTACATTAGTACTCACAGTTCAATATTGCATTCAGGTTAATTTGAAATTCACGGTTACTCACAGAAAGAATTTTATTTAAAAGAACAAGGGCAATTAACCAAGTCCCAGGTAAGTCACACTTACATATTTCCATTTGCCAAACATGAGATTCTGAGGTACATCAAGTCGGCAAGGCATGATAATGGTATCTCCATATGCTGAATTTACAGTGTACCATCCAAGACCTTTGGGGAAAAAAAAAAAAAAAAAGAAAAGAAGAGAGAAAGAGAGAGAGAACAAAATTTTAAATGTTTTCTTGAAATGACAAATAACTTCAAGATGCATGTCGATGAAGGTTGTCATCTGCTATAGTTTTATTTTAAATGGTATACAAAAAGTATGAGACTGGAATACATTTTCCATTTAAAAATTACCACCTTTCTATTTAGCTACTGAATCTTTGAATCCTTGAATATTACACAATCAAAATTTGTAGATCTCCAATTTTACCAGAGAACAGATAAGTGGTTCATTCCAAAGGAACATAGTGGAATCTGTAGATGAATTATCTTCTTCACTGTATTTCATAGAAATAATTTCTACCATATTTTATAGAAATGTGGGACTACACAAAGACTAACACGATTACAATTCTCAAAACTAGCTTTAACTATATTTGTATTTTTCATCTGAAGATATTATCAAATTTTTCTTCTGTAAAATTCAAAAAACTATTAAAAACTGAGAATTAATACACATAAGACCACAACTGAATTTTATTTATAAGGGGAAAATGGATTATTCTGTAGTAGTATAAATTAAAATACTAATTTTAATTTTGTATAAAATATTAGCATAGTAAGAATTTATAGTGTGAACATTCTTCATAAAGTGCTATTTACAAAGTGATTATGTGAATTTTTGGAAGACAATATAATTTAAACCACAATTTTGTACATACGGAAAACTTCTTCATCTTATTTAATTCTATATTAAGAAAAATAGAAATAATAAGTGATTAAAATGTGGAAAGAAGCAATTTTTACATATGAATGAAAAGTACTATTCAAATCTGGATATATTTGTGAGGGTTAAAAAACTCAGGCATTTAAATTGGCAATAGCACTTGGGAAACATTTCAATTTTTTTAATCTTATTTTACTTACAACAATCTTTGCAATTTAGAACTTTCACAACTGAATGTCTATTAAGGTGTATCATAATTGAGTATAGAGTGTGAAGGGGTTATTTTAAACAGTAGAGAAAAAAAAAAACAAATGATATTTTGTCCACCAGGTGGTGCTAAAATGCAAAGCGACAGCAATCTGCAACACATAAATAAAACCATCTTTCTGAAGAAACAGGACTGGGAGGATACCATCTTTCGATTGTTATCTATCAATCACCACGTATACCAAAATTTCATTTAAGGTTAAGAATTTTGCACCAGTGGACAAAAACATAACAAAGAACACAGACTTCATGTAAATATGCAACATAACAACTGGTTTTCAGCATTTTTAATATTGTTAAGACACAGAATACAAAATCCGCAAAGCGAGAATGCATTTTCACTTACTATTTGAAACATGAGGTTTACTTCAAATTGCTTATCATATGTTCAGTCTCATAGTAAAACTTTATCTCAATTTTAAAATTGTTTTGTGTTCTCCATACTGTAATTATAATCTCTTTTAACATCAAACCAAGCATAAGACTGTAAATGAATAATTTTTTTTATTCAACTTTGTTAAAATAAAAATAATGGAGGTTTAGACATGTGGCTGCAGACATGCAGACTAATAACATTCAGAAAATTGCTTTATTGCACATTACATTACTTGTTCTCTGTGATATTTGGCTCCTAGATGTGGAATTTCTGCTGTGTGTATTAAGACTTGTTCATACACTTCACAGGTAGAGGTCTGTAAAGCCAGGGAAACCATTTTGTAATTTCATATTTTGTTTCTTCATCAGGTTATAACAAGGCACATGAATATGTAATAATTTTGAGGGGATCTATCTCTATACCTTAATTTGTGTCAGGGCAAGCACCTGTAATTGTCTCATATTATTCGAAATCATACCTTCCTTTGGCAACTAACAGTGCTTTCATGATTGGCCAAGGAGTGAAAACAATTTACAGAGCTTAGGTACCAATGAAGTGAATCCTTTGCCAGGTAAAGGGAAATAAGAAAATTCCTTTTCCAAGAATTAAATGCTTTGCCCTTTCTCACAGACCGTTTTTCTTTTCTCTTCCCTACAGAACTTTAATGTGCTACATATACATCATATTTTATAATGAGTCTTAAAGCTGTATGAATTTCAAGTACATAGTGTATTGGTATGATGAAATCACAATCAGAACAGGGAAGAGATTGTGTATTTTTAAGCTTTGTATCTCCAAAAACAATGCCTAGCATCTGATGGACACCTACTAAAATGACTCTGGAGTTCTTTCCATTTTGGTTATCAAATTAACATGTTGGAAAATCAGAGAGCAGTTGACAACACCAGAATTTTGAGAATTCTCATTTCTGCCACATACTCTAAAGCCATTCATATCTTATCTTGGATGTGTAGAGAACTTGGATATTGATTTTGGGTGGCAATCTCTGTCTTGAGAAACAAACAGCAAACACATTTCATGGGAATTCATGGATGGAATGACAAGAGAGAACATTCTCCCTTCCCTTTAAAGAGAAATTAAAAGTTATCTGTGCTCCCTCATTTGCAAATGATACCATGAAATGTCTCTTTCCTCACTTGTGATGACCATGAAGTAAACATTTCAAGTTTCAGAAATTCATGAATGGCGTCTTTTAATGACAGCTTCAAATCCAAATCTAAATCCTCAGACAGGAAAGAACTCTGAAGAGCAGAACAAACACAAAGAAATAAGGTACCGCACCAGACAGAGGGCGGTAAGTAAAAAACCAACAATTATAGACATAAGTACCTTCCTTTCACAGGCCTAGGGCAGAATGAGTGGCAGTAAGTTGAGCTGCATGTTAGGGGCCATAATGGTGCTTATTTTAGAATCAGTTTTCAAGTCTGCTATAATAATCAACTTCTCTCTTCTTGTAAGAGTTGACTAACCCCCATGTTCATCTGATAGAAGCACTGAAGGCCTGCATCTGTGGGAGAGCTAAGATCTCGTGCCCCCTAGGGATAAAGTCGCTACAAAGACCATTGTGATTTGGTAATAAATTATGTCCTAATTTTTAGCAATGTCTTAATCTTTGAGACGAAGTGTCAGCGAGACCCAAAGTACCTGTCAACTCGAACGATTCTGTTTACACTTTTCATAGAAGAAAGAGCTTTTTATCTTTGAATTGCCAAGTCTAAAAATTGAGTTTAGCTTTCTAGAATTCCCTTGCAATTTTCACCCTCTAATATTTATTAGTTAAATTATTCATGGTTTTGTAGCCTAGAGCTTATCGGGCACTACTGGAAATATAGAATACCTGTGACGTCCTTCTTCAAAGAGGCTAAATGTCAAGTGTAAACCAATGTGTGAGAGCATAAGTGTGTTCAGTACGTGTTATAGCTATGTATATAAGCACAGGTCAAAAGAAACTTTAAATTGGACTAGAACCTTCTGTATTAAATGTGTTCTACAAATTTAAGACATTTTTATGACTTATTATTACTGCAGCTATTAAAATGTCAACATACAATAAGACATAAAATGTGTCATACTTGAGAAGCAGTGTGTAATTATTTAAGCATTTTTAAATAGAAGGTTATTAACCAAAGGTAAAGAACAATAGAATTATAAAGGTTACATAGAAGTATTAATGGAAATTCAATGCGGTGAGAACAGGAAAAGAAAAATCTCTTAATGAAGTAATTCTGATATATAGAATCTCAGGCAAGTGACCATAACATATAAGCTAGTTACAGTAATATGTTTTGTATAGAAAATGATTTAAAAGAGGCACTGAAAGCAGACTCTGGTAATGTTTTGAAGTTAGCTAAACATTCTATTTCTATTTGAAATAATAAAAATGTAATTTTGGCCATTTTGGTGGCAAATGCTTTTTTCCATAAAACTAATTGCCAAATTCAGAGGAATCATTCTCTTTGCATTCCTGACAGATAGACATTTGAATTGGGGTAGATTAAAATTCAGAATCTGCTACCACATTTCAAGCAGAAGAACATCAAATAATATAGAAAATGGAATGATAATTAGACAGTCTATTTTCACATGCTGTAATTTAGCATGGTTAATTATTATTTATTGCACCAATACATTAATAGCATCATCATCCTTAAAAGAAAATTTGAGCTCTAGCTCTGCTAAGTGTCATAAAGGGGTTAACTGCAATTACAATGGACTCAGAACTTATAAGAACTAAATGCCAGTTTCACAAAAATTTTACAGAGACTTATTTGAACAAATGAACTATCACTGAGGAGGTAGATAGAAATGAGAAGTTTATCCTTAGAAATTACTTTCATTTTTTTTACTAATTTTGACAGATAGACATGCTAATGCTTCTATTTGTTTCACTAACGAATTAGGATATGTACAACTCTAAAGAAAATGTAAATATTTTGTAACACTAGTTTATGGCAGTGTTTCTCAACCTGGTCACTAGACCAAATGAGTCTTTACTGTGAGAGTGCTGTGCTGTATATATTACAGGATGTTTAGTAGTAGCCTTGCCTCTACCCATCAGATAACAGCACCACTCCTCTCCTAGGTATGACAGCCAAAAAGTCTCCAGGCATGACAAATATCCAATAGGAGGCAAAATTGCCCACCAAACCTTACGCAGTTGAGAATCACTGGTTTAAACCTTCAGCCATTGGTTTCTCACATGTGATTAAACTGGTTTTCCAATAAAGGAACTTTCAGAAAAATAGAATCTTAGCATAGGACTAAATAATCACTGAATACAAGTGAAGGAATAGAGGCAGAAATGGTACATGATAGTATCTGGTTATTATCAAATTTGTTTGCCTCACAGAAACATACTAAGCCACAATGAGGGATTAATTCCTGACTTCAGGAAGTGGATTCCCAATCTCTTTACAAAAATGACAAAGATATTTTGTTTTAGCAAGTCTATTTCCTGTATCACAATCAAGTGTAAATTATACATACTGTATACATATGCATACTATACTTTCTAAACCATGTATTTCACATATATTTTATTTAATCTGATAAAATACCATAGTTCTACTGATAGAGTGAAAAAGCATTTTTTTAAACCTGAGATTTTATGATTCA